CCGCGACCTCGCCGCCACACCAACTTAAGACTTCACCGCGGACTACCATGACCTGCTAGCGATCCTTACCTTCTCAGCCCCTGGGTAAGTTAGAGAGCCACCGCGGTGTGTCAGCTACCGGGCTACCACGCACCCTGCTCCTCCTCTCTCTCTCTCTCTCTCTGCTCTCTCTTCCTCCTCTCGTCTCTGCTCGTCTTCTCTCTCGTCTCTGCTTTCTCTTCCTCCTCTCTGCTCTGACGCTCCTCCCCTCTGTCTCAGTGTCACTCGCTCCTCTCCGTCTCCCCTCTCCTAAGAGATCTGCCTCTCGTCCTGCTGGCTCTCCTCTTCTCCTCTCTGTCTCTCTCTCTCGGTCCTCGCCTCTCTCTCTCCTCTCGTCTCTCTCGCTCCTCTCTCTGCTCTCTCCTCCTCCTCTCTCCTCTCCTCTCTCTGTCTCTGTCACTCTCGTCTCTCGTCTCTCGCTCTCTCTTCTCGCTCTCTGGCTCCCTCTCGTCTGGCTCTCTCTCTCGTCTCTCTTCCTCCTCTCCTCTCGTCTCTCTCTCCTCTCCTCCTCTCGTCTGGCTCTCTCGGTCTCTTCTCCTCCTCTCCTCTCTCTCTCCTCCTCTCTCTCTACTCTCTCTCTCTCTCCTCTCTCTCCTCTCTCTCGTCTCTCTCTCTTCTCTCTCTTCTCTCTCTGCTCTCTCTCTTCTCTCTCTCTTCTCCTCTCTGCTCTCTTCTCCTCTCCTCTCTCTCTCTTCTCCTCTCTGCTTCTCTCTCTCTCTTCTCCTCTCTCTTCTCTCTTCTGCTCTCTCTCTCTCTCTCTCTGCTCTCTCTCTCTCTCTCTCTCTACTCTCTCTCTTCCTCTACTCTCTCTCTCTCTCTCTTCTCTCTCTCTCTCTCTCTCTTCTCTCTCTCTCTCTCTCTCTCTCTCTCTCTCTCTCTCTTCTCTCTCTCGTCTTCTCTCTCTCTCTCATCTCTCTCTCTCTCTCTCTCTCTCTCTCTCCTCTCTCCCTCTCTCTCTTCGCTTCTTCTGCTCTCTCTCTCTCTCTTCGTCCTCTCTCTCTCTCTCTCTCTCCTCTCGCTGTCTCTTTTCTCGTCCGCTTCTCGCTCTCGCTTCCGCTCGTCGCTCTCGCTCTCTCTCTCTCTCTCTCTCTCTCTTCTCTCTCTCTCTCTCTCTCTCTCTCGCTCTCTCTCTCTCTCTCTCTCTCTCTCTCTTCCTCTCTCTCCTTCTCTCTCCTCTCTCTCTTTCTCTCTCTTCTCTATCTCTCTTCTCTCTCTCTCTTTCTCTCTCTCTTCTCTATCTCTCTCTCCTCTCTCTCTCTCGTTCTCTTCTTCTCTTCTCTCTCTCTCTCCTATCTCTGCCTCTCTCCTGTCTCTCTCTCGTCTCCTCTCTCTTTCTCTCTCTCTCCTCTCTCTCTCTCCTGCTCTCCTCTCTTCTCTCTCTCTTTCTCCACTTCCCAAACCTGTACCCGCTGACGAGGATCACTGTAATGACGACGCTCCTTTCCCATTCGTCTGTGATGTCGCAGTGAAGCCACACCAGCAGCAGCAACGCGACAGCAGCTGCACATGTGGCTCTGTCTGTCCGGTTCGTCTCGCCGCCTTGCAGTCAACTAACGCCTCCAGGCGCCGGGCATGTAACGAGTTCGCGAGTGTAGTAGCACCAGGGGACAACCGTGAGCAGTAGCTATGCATCACCACCATCCACCACCACCCGCAGCAGGCAGCGAGCAGACAGCAGGCAGGCAGCAGCAAGGCAGTAGCGCAGCAGCGGGCAGCAGCACAAAGCAGCTGCACAAGCAGCAGGCGAGCAGCAGGCAGTAGGCAGCCAGCGAGCACAGCGGCACAAGCAGCAAACGCGACAGGGGCAGCAGCATGGGCCAGCGAGCCAGCAGGCAGCGCGCAGCAGCAGCAGCCGCAGTCCAGCAGCAGCAGCAGCAGCAGCCAGGCACAAGCAGCAGCAGCAGCAGTAGGCAGCAGGCGAGCGCGGCAGCAGCTGCAGTAGCAGGGTGCTGGTGCTGGCTATAAATACTGGCCAGCCCTGGCAGTGAACGTTGATCCAGTCAGTAGAAACGATTCAGGTAGCAGGAGGTGAGTAATCGCAAATTCATTTAATAAAATTTTATTTTATTTAAATTTTATAAATATTTATAAATAAATAAATATAATAAATACATGTATATTTATAAATTTTATCAAAATAATTTGTCATTATTCACCCCTGGTAGTAGTAGATAGCGGCTGTGCAGACGTGTGCACGCGTTTTCTGGCTCTTATCTCTGCCTACGCTTATAAAATTTACCCCCCCCCCGTCTGTCTAGCACCACACATTTCTCTCTTCATCGCGCAAATTAGCCCTCACTTATCCTTGTAGCACCTCTCTTGCTCTCGTTCGCTCTCTCTCCATCTCTCTCTCTCTCTCTCTCTCTCTCTCTCTCTCTCTCTCTCTCTCTCTCTCTCTCTCTCTCTCTCTCTCTCTCTCGCTTTCGCTCTTTCTTTCTTTCTCGCTCTCTTTCTCACACACTTTCTTGCACCCCTTCTCTTTCGTCATTGCACCTCCTTTCTCTCGCGCGCCTGGGCGCGTGCTCACTCTATTTCTTTCTCTTCTCCTGCCTTTTTCCTCAACTCCCACTGCTCCCGTCCCCCTCTCCCCTTCCAGTCGTTCCCACTATGTATACAAGCTTGTTATGATTCTGTTACATTCACATGCGTGGCTTGCCAATCTGCCGTTTATACAACGATTTCTGAGCTTTGCGAGAAATATTTATCGAAGAATTTCTCACCTGACCCACTTTTCCTCTTCTTCTTCACACACCGCCTTCCCAGACGCAGCATTTCACGCATGCCCTGTCATCACCACCCAACCCCCGAAACGCACACGCGGAATTTATACGCTAAACGGAACTCAACACCTTGCTTGCGGTGCATTTAGACTCGCAACAACGACTGCCAGATAAAATTATGTGCACTCGACGACGGTAGAACCTTGGAGTAATCACTCTGAATGATTACGCCAAGGTAGAGCATACCGAAACTTTTCCACAGTAAAAGACGAGTAGGTGGTTTCAGAAGACCAGCTAATTGTTCAGATCGTTCTTGCGTATACGACTTTGTAAAGAGTTTACACACTATAGCTACACAGCATTTTGATTGCATGTCTCACCGCCACCATATTGGACCATCATCTCAATCGTGTAGATGAAGTGGTGGGTGCATAATTCGAGTTCATATCGCAGACATTTGCAGCTTTCCAATTACAGTTATCATGTACAATTTTACAGAAATCCCCAAAGCCGGCTGATTCCAAAACTAGAGTACAGTAATAAAACTAATATACCCCACATCATGGAAGCCAGAAGAAGTGTCCGTGATATAAAATTCTGCAACTGTTATCACGCCGCAATTATTGACGTCTAGCTATCATATAATCAGGATATTATCAACTTTTTTTGGCCGAAAGCTTTTCTGTGAGAATAAGCTGTTAAACTATTACATCAGTATAATATATATATATCTATATCTATCTATCTATCTATCTATCT